CCTTTTTGAAAGCTGCAAAACAATTTAAAAGGGAAAACTTTCTTTAATGAAAACCACATTAAAGATTTCACTGCAAACTTTTCCACATCAAAACCTTCTGAATTTTAGTAAAAAATGTGTTGAGTTGTCTGATAAATGGCAACAAGTCATTACAAAATATTGTAGAGTAGGACTCACTATACTTCTTGCAAGTATCCACATTAGAGTACGGCTCTGTGTATGAGTATTTAATAAACCTTCTTTGTTTCCTCTACCTTGTCTTCTGTTCTTTCAATACTCTAACTAGAGCATTCCTAATTTGTTGTAATATTTTCTTTGTTCAAAATACAAAGAAAATATTACAACACAAATAAAAATAAATATATAATTTTCTTTTTTAATGATGTTCACACTGTACTACTGGATTGCCTGTTCCATCAATGAATGACAAATATTCCCTTATAAGGAAATGGCTAATATTACGATTACTCTGAAGTATGCTGCACACTTAGTCTCTTATAAGACCTAACCCTCCATCCCATGGAATTTCACAACATTTAAAAAAAAAAAAATGTTCACTCTATACAAGGCCTCATGGTAGAGGGTTACAGACTGAGAGACAAAATCTATGTGCTTATGTGGGGAAGAAAACACTAAACAGGTTAAGATTATAGTTATCAGAGAAGCATCCTCTTGAGAGTTGTTTCTATAAAGCAGCAGTTCATAAGAAGCTGATCAAGTGGAACTTACATCTCACCAATGGAATATGAAGGAAATGACCATTGTTTGCTACAATGTGCATAGCATGGCGAGTCTTAGCTGTGAAGGTTAGAACTCCTGGAAGTAAGGAATGTAGTTTGTCTAAACACTTTTCATGAAAATAGAAATAGAACAATAAGAAGATTGCAACATTTCAATTGTGAGAAAAGGGATTTACGGTAAGAAATAACCATAATGATGCAGAGATGCTTTTGGATTCTATCAAGACTGGAAAGTGAAGATTGGGCAGCTTCTGCCAGTATATAGCAACAGTATTTTGGGCCTAATCTGGCTCTTGTAAAGGTAGAAGATAACAGGAGATGTCTTACTGAAGCAGTACAAGGAACTGACCTTTTTTTAAACATGAATAACATATAATTCTAAGTTATTATTAGAAAATTCAAGTTGATAAACAAAAACAAAAATTATTTATTACAACACATTTTTCTTTGTTTGAACATGGGGAAGCATTTGAATTTTTTGAACAAAATCTAAAGCATTAATGGCTCTTTTCATAGTTATTGACAATATAATAGACTCCTACAAACATGTGTGTAAAGATGTATATCTTTTTCCACTGTCCAAAATTTGAAATGAATAATGGTACCCTTGCAGGGCTACATTTATTTTTATAGACATTTGATCAAATTCTTTTACATATTTTTTTCCATTTTCTTCATACATTTTTCATATTAAATTTATCAACAAACAGAAAAGCCAATAAGTTGTATTAGAGAACTTCAAGAGTCGAAATGTCTCCAAAAATAATTCTAGATGAAAAAGCACGTGGATGAGTGATAAGCAAATTCCCTTGTTGATGTGGCCATTAAGATCTTGAAAGCAAAATACATTATGAAGTAGAAAAAAAAAAAAAATTATTTTCCTCTTTTTTTTCTCATCTTGCTTGAAAAAAATATTTTCTGTGCTAGAACCTTGAGGCAAATATACAATGAATAAATTTTTATATTGTTTAATATTAAAATCCAAATATATTTTCTTTCTTCCTCCTCCACTTTTACTCTTTCAGTCTCTCCATATATATATATATATATATATATATATACAAACACACATGCACACACTTATATGGAAGTAGATGTATAGGTTCTATATATTTATTATATATATCAAAATACAATAATGAAACAAAATTAATGAAAAATATATACTGTATATTTCCTTCTCTCTTAACATATATTCAATAGCTTTATAAACTTATTTGTGATGTTTATTCAGCTATATAAATATGTGTGCATTAAAAGGTTTATATATATATGTATATAATTTCATTATTAGTCACTTCAATTTTAGCATCTGTTGTTTATACAGTTTTATAAATGTGTGGGATGTTTATACAACTATATAAGTGTGTATGTGCGTCAAATGATATATATGAACTGGGATCAAATATGGATTAGAATCCAACAGAATGATAGGATAAGGAACAAGTAGGAAACATTTATAAATTTAACATATTTCACTCTTATTTAAGCTTCATCAAAGAATGAAATATGAAGAAGAAAAGAAAATTCTGTCATTTTTTATTTTTGTACTATTTGATTTTCATTTGTTAAGCAAAGCCTAATGTGTATTTGTCCTGTCAAGCAGCATTCATGCATGTAATTCTTGTGTATTTGTTTATCATAATTCTCGTTAACCTATACAGGATTTAGTTGATAATGTTTGTGTTTCTGCATGTTGATTAGGGGATGTTTTGTGTGATATTGAAAAAGTTTGTTACACCTGTTGTGGTTGTAGGTAGACAGCTTTTAGATTCTTTAAGTATAGATTTTATAAGAATGAAAATAATTATTATATCACCAACTTGTATAAAATCCATAAATAAATGTTAAACATGTTAAATTTGTAAACATCCCCTCTTTGTTCCAATTCCTATCATATATATATATATATATATATATATATATATATATATATATATATATAGAAGTGTTTGATAATCCATATGGATAATTCCAGGGAGGATATATTCCAGAGAGCTCAATATAAAAATGTAAATTTCTGTGTATATACTTGATAAATAGGTTTGTATGTCTAACAAGCCCCCACACCTCCCTGTCATTATTATGTCTCTTTATTAAGATGGGTGTGAATACATCTATCTCTTTTCTTCTTTATCTCTTTTTTTCCTTTCCTAATTTTGTCTGCCTGTCTTTTATCTTTCACTCTCTAAATCAACTTTTCCCTTTCAATATACCTCCTTCAACCCTTCCTGCCACCAATTTAAACCTGCCTCCTCAAACACATGTATGCATAAATTAATACTAAATACTAATAATAATACTAAATTCTTCTTATGCCTGGAATATTTGTCACCCATTTATTTGTATGAAAATGTCGATCTGAGGAATTGTAATCGAATTTTGATTCTAAGGAAATAAATTATAATCACCTTGAAACTTTAAAGTTGTCTGTTTCTTATATATATATATATATATATATATATATAAGCAAATATATGGAAATAGATCCGACAGTATGAAGAAAAATATATACGGAAAAAACAAACAAAAATCCTTATATACAATTATGCTGTTTTAATGTTAATATGTCAAACTCTTTGTCACGTTGTATTGATAATGTTATAATTTATGAATATGTCCTGAAGATGGTTTATTAGACCGATTAACTCACTGGGGTAGATGGTTTATTAGACCTGATTAACATTAAAACAGCATAATTGTATATAAGGATTTTTGTTTGTTTTTTCCGTATTTTTTCTTCATATATATTTTTATATATATATATATATATATATATATATATATATATAATTATTAACCATGTTTAATTTTTTCCCTTACTGATGAAAAGATTCACAGAAATATTTATGCTATTAATGTGCAGGAAATTTCACATAATATAAATTAAACTACATATCACATTTGTTTTATGACATTTTCTGGATTTTCCAAGTTTCACATTCACCAGGTTACAAATAATTTACAGAACATGTGCAAAGTTTACAAAGATAGACATTAAAAAACACACTGAAATAATGTTATTGTAATGATGACAGTCATAAAGATAACAGTAATATAAAATATAAGCTCCGTCTTCTGAAATTAGTTTTTTAGAAATCATTTGCCCATTGATTTTGTAAGCTGTTGTATGTCATATACAATGGGCAACATCCAGAATGGTATTCCAATCACTTCTGACAGTAAACTGCCATCTGCTAATATCTTCATAATGCTCCATAAGTTTTTGATCAGGTGAACAAGTTAACCAATTTGTGCAGATACATTTTCAGCCAGTAATTCGATCAGGTCTGCAGCGGAGCCAGGTTTCATCAGAGATAAAAAAAAAAAAATAGTTAAATATTCTTCTCTTGCTGATAGATTTTTTTTTTTACTCTTGTGGCAGTGGAGACTTCTGGGGTTATTGGCTCTCATTTGATGGTGTTCCTTTGGAGGATTGGTGCGATTGTGTCTCGACTAAGGGATGTGCCTTGCAAAACAGAGTGGCTCTTGCAGCGGGTCTCACTGGCGATGGTTTGAGGTAATGCTTTCTCCATCATTGCAGCTGGCAGAGGATAGCAAAAAAAAAAAAAATTGTTTATAGTTACTTTGTTCAAACTTTTTTTACTTTACATTTACCACTGCAAGGAATTTTTTCACATTGCTTCTCAGTATTTGTACAGAAATAAATCACTTTAACAGTTGAAAACAAAAAAAAAATTGTCAAATGAAAGTCTTTGAAAACTATTTTCAAGTGTCAAGTTAAACCTGTTTGTCTTTTATAACCTGATATTTTAACAAGATTCTATTGACTTTCATAGCAAAAAGCAAATATCCTGAACTGATTATCTAAAAGTAAATGATTAAATATGTATGAGTTTTGATTAAATTCAAATGATCATAACTTGACAAATGCTTTGATTTAGGACAAAGTTAGACAAGTTTGGAAAATCTAATACTGTCTGCTTTCTGACTTGATATAGCGAGTATCATCTGGGAAATGTTCCAAAAATGCTATTGTGAGATGCTTCATTTCTATTCTTGATATTTACTGTTTCATATGGCACAAGGCCAAATGGAAAGAGGATGATCATGTTACAGCAACCTGCAATGGGGAAATATTCAGACTGCCTTTCTAGAAAATTAGCATTTAAAATAATGGATTTTATTTTGGTGTGAACACTAATCTCTGACAAAGGTTTAAATATTTCAGAAATCTAGTATGCTACATTTGATTTCTATCCCAATGATTGAATTGGGGTTTACATCTACATATATAGAGTTGAAACACTGGTTTCTATATGATCCTTGAAGTTAAGCAATGTCAAGCCTGGTCAGTACCTAGGTGGGTGACCACCTGGGATTATAAGGTGGTGTAATGGATAATGGCTTGGGATTGGAAATCGGACAGCTGAGTTCCAATTCCACTCAGGTTTTTTTACATTTATTTATGTGCAAATACCTTTAGGAAAGGTATGAATCCACATCTTCTCCCCCCATTTATGGATTAATTAGTAGAACATGTATCAGTAAATCATTATCTTCAACAAATTCTTACAATCTAAAAAAAAAATTTTTTTGGCTTTAAATAACCTGCAAAGGGTTGATAAGCAATAAAACACACATCAATCAGTCAATGTTTTCATCCAGTCTTCAAATAATGACTGTTATTCAAGTCATTCAAATATATTATTTACGTTTTAAGAAATTGTTCATAGAAACATTTAATAATGTTGCTTACCCCAAGTGCTTGGCACTGTTATTTTTATTTACATATATCTGTATTATTAATAGTATTCTCTTTTTACCGCTTGAAGTCCTAAAGACAACAGTAATATAAAATATAAGCTCCTTTTTATTAAATTAGTTTCAGAAATTATTCAAGACATTGATTTTGTAAGCTGTTGTATTTCATATGTAATGGACACCATCCAGAAAACTATTCCAATCATCTTTACCAGTAAATTACCATCTGCTAATGTCTTCATAATGCTCTATATGTTTTTGATCAGGTGAGCAAGTCAGCCACTTTGTCAAATGAAGGTCTTTGAAAACCATTTTCTTCAGATATTCATTGTTTTTTGCTAAATTTGATGGTGTATTGTTGTGCATAAAACTCATGTTTGAAACCGTTTTGTTCTATATATGTCTTAAAAACATAAAAAAAAACTTGCTACAGCTATATTTGATGTTTATTTACATATACTTGTAGTATTAGTAGTATTATCATCATACCTCTTGCCACTTTACCAGATGTTCACTGTCTTTCTGTGATGACAGAAAAGGAAATGCTCTCTAAGTCCAATAAGCAAGCATTTTGGTCTCTTTCAGGGGTCTTACCATGCAAAATCTTCCTGCCGTTAGGCTAATTTATGAAAATGGGATTGTTTTAAAAATTCTACATTTTCCTTTTTTTGTTGTTTTTAATCATTTCACCCCAAGCAAGGCAATAAATCCACTAAAATGCAAGGTTTTAGTGAGTGTTAGAGAATATGAGAAAAAGAAAACATTATTAAGGTGAGAGACTGATAAAAGAATAGGAATTAAGAAAACAGAAAATAATGATTGACATTGAATTCAAATCTTTGAAGATCAGTTAATTGAAAAGCAAGAAGCTGGAGGAGAGTTGTATAAGTGAGTAATGCCAAAGAAGAAACTACTAGCATAGAACTTGCTGTTACATTAACTGTAAAAATGATGAAACCTTCATTCACACTATTCGGACCACCATTCCCATCTTTGTCGCCACATTTATTACAACGTTTCGGCCGTTGTACGCTCCGGCCTTCTTCAGGTGGTTGGAATGTTGAACTGAACCCTTTATTTCGCTCACTGGGGTAGACTGTTCTAGTTCTACGTGCCATGTTTTAATGGATGTCAGTTATCAGTTATCTCCTGTTAATTTCCCTCTGAAAGTTCTCCACTCCTGAGGGAAATTAACAGGAGATAACTGACATCCATTAAAACATGGCACATGGAACTAGAACTTGAAAATGGCATCAATCTCCAGTCAGACTGTTCCAACAGTATGTACTGTAACAGTGGCTTTTTTTACAGTTAGGCATGGTTTGACCAATAGCAAGTGATGTGCTGATTGGTCAGACTAGAGGAGTCTACTTGCCTAGATAAGGAAAGCGAAAAATGTTGATTGGTTGGTCAGCTGTGGCGTTGGCCCGATAGAAAGGGCTGAAGTAGTGAGAAGGGAGAACGGTTTTATGTTGGGGAAGTGTGTGGAACACAAGAACAGTAGATTGAACAAGCAGTATTTTGTATTGTACAAATGATGCCTGAGGAATAGAGACCCATTAACTACAAAAATATATATGATTTAATTCCTATGAACAAATATAAGAAACTTATTAGACTCCAACTTAAATATTGACAGAGATTAGCTTTTGTCATCACATCACTTCTGTTACTGGATTTTGTCAGCTACCTTGCTGAATTTATAATGCTTCTCATATTTTAACATGACTACTCTTCAAGTCTACCCTTCTTAGTTTCCAGTCTATAGCTCCCTTTAAATGTTCCAAGGCTCCAAAAGAGACCATATAGCACCTGATGTGAATTAATCTACTAAATAATGAAGAAAAGAAACTAAAACATAAAAGGCTGAGAAAAGAGAATAAAAAATAGCAAAAGTAATGTTAATATTCCATTATTCAGCCTATACGTCTTTAAGGCTTAAATTGGTTGGTTTCAGAGTTTCCATGCCAAAAACAATTTGACTTTCCATTGCTTTTTGGGAAGGAAATTCTTTAAAGGAAAAATGGTTCACTTTGAACTTTTTCTAAAAAGAAAAGGTCAAGGATTTCTTCTCACGTCAAAAAAAAAAAGAAAAAAAAAGCAATTATATAATCTTTTGGATATGGTTTGTACATAAGATATGCTTCATGAGCAGTAAAAACGAATGGCTTGTGGTTTTTGATTGTTACTCATGCATATTTCCTTAGGATTTTACAGAAATATTGAATAATTTGTCTGTTATTTTTATCATTCATTGGGGGACACAACAATATTTGTATTCAGAATGTTATCAGAAAGAGCAGTACAAATTCAGGAGGACATGTACCTGTGCTTTATTGGTTATGCAAAGGCATTTGATAAAATATGCCACAAAGATCCATTGGAACTGATCAGCAACTTTGATATAATTGGGAAGGATATTAGAATAATCAAGAATCTACACTAGCAGCAAACATCCTGCATACTGATAGAAAATGATTTCAGCAGATATACAAAAATAGAAAGTGGTGTAAGACAAGGACTCTGTTGAGAATACCATGGAAAGAGAACTAAAAAAATTTTATATTCACAGGACAAACTGAAGGCAAGAGAGACGGAGTAAAACAATGCACTACAGAACCAAAACATTAACCTAAAAACTTCAGTCTTGTTTGTAAAAGAGTCTTGGCAGATCTCTCACATTGCATGGCATCCAACTCCTTCAGAAATTTCTAAACTCTCATTTATATACAACAGTTTCCTCATATCAGTGCTTAAAAATGGATGAAACCAGTGGGTTTTAACGACAATAATACTTCCTCACATCTCATAGACTGGCACTAGAGAATCTCAAAGAACTTTACCAAAAAACAAAAACCACTTCACCAAAAAACAAAAACCACTTCACTTGAAGACATTCAACAGCACAAACAACAAAAATAGGTAACATATGTAACTAGAAGTAAAAATAATAATATAATCATTATGTTAACTTTTCACACAACTTTAAACAAAAGCTTAGGAAGGAAACTCCCATTAATACTTAACTGATAACTGTACATGGAAAGTACATATACATTGATATTCACAGAACAGATTGAAGGGTACATACCTAGATTATTGATCACTTGGGAATATCAGGTGCTGTAAGTTTGGATGTGCAGGTGATGTAATGGATAATGGCTTGAAATTGTTAATCAGAGCAGAGTTCCAATTCCAGTTGGGTTTGTTATATTCATTTACATGCAGATACCCTTGAGAAAGGTATAACTCCACTTATTCACCCTAGCTATGGGTTAATTATTAAGACTTTGTATCACTAAATCATTATCTCCAAAAAAATCTTACAATCTAAACTATTTGCTGGCTTTAAATAACCTTCAAAACATTGGTAAGCCATAAAAATGAATCAATTAAGTTTTAACTCTTACACTAAATTTGTTATAACTGTTTAATACACCAAGTTATTTTAAGTGTTTAGAATTTATCAATTCCAGATTCTGAATTTTTATGATGTATCACTACTCCCGTTCCAATTCCAGATCATAGTCTCTGTTTTGGAACGGTTTACCTGAAGTCCTACTTCTTAACACATTTGGCAGAGAATTAATTAACAGAATAGATAATGGAATCTTATTTTGTTGTCATGTATGATATTAGGATGTAATATGAAGGTTAATGATGCTGTTACAAGTGCTTACCTTAAGGCAATCTCCTGTATGGCAGTGAAGACTGGACAATCTCTTCACTGATGAAGAAGAGACTTAAAGCAACATAGATGTGAGTGTACTGACAAATACTCAAAATATGCTGGACAGAACATGAGGAATATGAATTAATTCATACTTGTAATCAGAAAGAGAAAGCTGAAATTTCTATGACATTTAATGAAGAAAGAGATTCTGGAGAATTTAACTATTACAGGGACAGTAAATGTTAGAGGAACATTGGGGAAACAATAACCTATTTAACATGTTTGATAAAAGATTGGATAGCAAAAAAAAAAACAGACAAAGTATTATTACATTTAGACGAATATCTTCATCTTTGTTGTTACTATCGCAAAGTTTTGGTTGCTTCACTCTCTGGCCTTTTTCAGATATTTGTCAGCCTGATTCTTGAGAACAATCTATCCTCATAGATTAAATAAATGGTTCAGTTTGAAATTCCCTGAAGGTTAACTGGATCAATAGATACCTGAAGAAGACTGGAGGGCTCACCAGCTGAAATGTTGTGACAACTACAACAGCAAAGATGAGGGCATTCGTCCAAATGTAAATCATGTACATAAGGTCAGTTATGGTGAAGTTTCAAAATTTAATTAAAGTAACAAAAGACTGGAATTTGGGGAGAGTCATCTTGGAAGGATGACACATAAAGAAGGTGGACACAATACGTGACTTGCTAATTAATTCATGTAGGCTTGAAGGGTTGGGTTATGTGATAGTTTCAGTACTGAGGAAGGGAGAGAATTTTTTTTTTCTTTCTGAGCTATTTCATATAACTTGTTCATCTTATTACTTATTTTTCAATGCATGAAAAAGCTATCATTGCAATGTCCCTTGATGATGGAAACAATCATGGCTCTTTCTATGCTTTGTAGCTCTTAGCATGTTCATCTTAATATTTTCTCACTTCCTTTTCTGTTATCTA